GGAAATGTGAATTTCCATGCCTGAGTTGAGGACAACACTCTCAGTCACATTTACTCAGCTCAGCAATAAAAAATGCATGCCCGTTCCCATCTCGGGGATGCCACGGGAGATTTGTCACAAAGTGCCAGTAACAATGTCATAAAACCATACCCCGCCTCGCCGCCGTACGCGAGGATTGTGCTGACTGACTGACTGCGTTAACATCTTGGCACATGGGTTCTTGCTGTGCAAATGGCAAGGGAGAGGAAGATAAGCGAACGTGCTGACAACCATTTCATCATTTGCTTGGCGACAGAATCTTTGGCCCTTGCCTAGGGTAGGCAGTTTCAGATCTGTGGTGAAAACACACACTTCCTGACTTGGGCCATTCAAGATAACACCCAATCCATTTTCACAGATTGCAATGTGACTAACTCTTGCTTTTGGCATGGGTGGCGTTAGCAATACTTCCCACCATACTCCCTTCCCATCTCTTATTAGCGTCCTGAGCCCACAGGATCACTCTGAAACTCTCCCATAAACAAGTGAGGACTTTAATCCCTCCTTTATCTACAGAGGGCTAATTAAGGAGCATGATGGACAGAGATGATCCTACATTGGACACCATTATCAGTCATGTGGGTGGAGGACCTGCTTTCACTTTTGTTATTTTTTCTCACCTCTCTTTCTTGAGGAATTCAAAACAGCACAAATTTTTTACTCTGAATCACCACTAAAAAAAAAAGAAATTAAAATTTCAGGGACTACAATACAATTGAAACTTACTCTTTGGGGAGCTCCTGGGAAGTGATAAAAGCCCTGTGAGGACAGGGAAACATGACTACAGACACCAACGTACTTTACTGATGGATGAACAAAAGGACAAATGTTCACTGTGGCATTAGCTACAGTCACAGTAATCCTGTGATAACAGCAGTATGGAGCATAATGCTGAAATAGTGTAATAAAAATTGTAGATGTACTTATGGCTTTATTAAAATAAATATTTTCCACATCCTGAGTAAAATTAAATGGTAGTCAAAATCTAAAACGGCTATTGACTCCTATGCAATTACGTATCTACTGATGACACAAGAAGGTAAAAACTCTTACAAGGATGTTGCAATCTCCTCAAAATGTACAAATGTTCAAAACCCTGGAGGTCCAGTACTGACAAGGCACTTGAAAACTGGATTGGAAAGTAATTATGCAAACTGGAATCTGCTTTTAAGGTCACTGAAAGAACACCAGTTCTGCTCCTGGGTTACCATAGAAAGCACAGTCAAAACCAAGAGAGGGTAAAATATTGAAACATTAGATATTTTGTTACGAGAGCAGAAAAGTCAAAAAGCAAGGGGAGACTAAACTGAACACTTTTTGTGAGGTTACACATACTTGAAGCAACCGACTTTTACTTTCCATGCTGAACTGCTGCTTCCTTATGTCAGATAAAAATGAGGCCACAACAGGACAAACACCAACACAATTTCATAGGCACGGCAAAAGCAACATTATATTCTGAGAAGTGCAGTTTCCAGTGGATCCCCTTATTTCCCAGATTTTGAGCCAAAATAGATTCTACAGGCTAAAGATTAAGTAAGTGCTATAGAAATTAGGGAAGTTTGGAAACCATCTGGTGTATTTCTCAGTCCCAAGGAAAAAGGACTATAGATTTAAACCATTTCTGGCAGGTATTACTATACATTCCCAAGGACTGAGATTCCTCAGTCTTCCTTGGCAATCTATTCCAGTGCTATCTATACCTTTCAATGAGATGTCTTCCCCTCATTTATCTTGCTGTAATTTAAGACCATTCTTTTTGTCCTTTGAGTTGCCCAGAAAGATCAGTCTATCCCTTCCCACTGCATCTGTCTCTTTAAATATTCTCAGTTCTTATGCATTCCGTCTTCTGTCTACTCTAGACCAAAAAAAAAAATCTTAGTTCCTTCTGTCTGCCCTCATTAGTTATGTTCTCCAGTACTCTTTTCACTCTTTATGTTCTCTTTTGGGCTCTCTGAAACCAACAAAATCTACATACAAATGAAAAGTGAGGAAAGTCTGAATCTTGGATAAAAGCAAATTTAACTAATTCTGTTTAAGACACCACCATTCTAACATCTCTGCTTCTATACAGTTCTTTCACTGGAAGATAGAGAAGCTGTCTATAAGGGAGGCAAGACATACCCTCATCGTTATAGGCAGGGAAACTGAGGCATAGCTAAATGACTCACTCAAGGCATCACGGATGTCTACCCCAGACAGGAATGGAAACCCGTCAAGTTGCTAACTGAGCTGCTCTGTAACTTCCCCCCATGTCACAACACAGGACCTGAAGCCAGTGTGCCAAAACAGTTACGGCTGCATAGATTTTAACCAAAGTGCGCATTATATTTTTATAACTTATTTTTTATTTTTACAATTTATTTCTGTCTTTCTAAGTGTCAGATTCCATTCACTGATTCCTCTGATGTATCAGACATATTTTGGGATTGCAGTACACTGCTGCACCTGCTTGTCAGCACCTTACTGATCAATTTGTGGCTAAACTTTCTTTTCACAGATCATTCTGCTCCTGTTCTAAATATTCTGCTGTGTAATCCTTCTCCTAAGGTTGTTTCTGAAAGCAGGCCAAGTCCTGTAGTTCTTCAAGTTAAACAACAGAATTATTACTTTTGCATTTTTTTCATGTCACAGCATGACTGATATTTTTATGCCTATGAATAGCCCCTTAAATAATCCATAAAACCTGTACCTGATGATTTTAATCCCTTTCTTGTATGTAATCTCCTCCAGGCAAAGCTTAATAAGCCCCAAAATCTTTCTAAGCTTACACCTCTCTAGTGAAGCCAGATGAATGTCAGATTTTTACGGTATTTCTACTGTAACTTCAGTAAAGCTTAAGCTGTCAGAGAGATTATGGATACCATATGAATCCACAGCCAAAGTGACCAATACCTTTTAAGAACACAAAATAAAAAATGCAGGAGCAGCAGTGTTTCCTACCTTGTCTGCCTTGCTCTACTAAAATGAAAAGATGAAAAGACTCCATTTTGTAGCATAATCTATGCTTTTACATCAACATATAAAGAAACACGAACCCTGGGGGTCTACAGGCAAGTACTGCCAAATGACAGGTTGCTGTAAAGGTAAATGCCTCATTTTAATTTCAGTCAAGTATTAACAGCAGGCTATCTATGATCTCTTTCACTGTTAAGAGCAAACACTTGTCTATTGAACCTGGGTGTTTACAGTGTACCTTAATTATCTGCTCATCGTTCAGGCAGACAGAGAAATGTCTTTTCCATTTATTCAAAGGTTTGAAGATTTCAAACCTTTTCCAGTCAAAGTAAGAAAGAAAAATGCACTTGAGATGTAAAAGACTCAGGTTCAGGTCTCTGCTCTGTTTTCCACCAGAAACTTAAGTCCCCTCCATGCCAAACCAGTACCTGAGAAAGGAGCACAGACAGTAACTGTAACAGAGGAGACTGAATTAGCTAGAACACTTTGGCTGCGTTTATCAATCCAATGGCACCAACCACATTATTGCCGAAGTAGTTAGCCTGGAGCATATATGGTTTTGTAGAAGTGTATCTTGGAGTTTGGCTTAGGGTTTTTGACCCACCTACTTCTTCTGTACCAGCACAGGTACCAATGGTATGCTGGGATCAGCTGAATGCACAGATGAGCTTGTAGTTGGCTTTCTCTGTCCTCACAGCTTACTGGCTAGGACTTGCTGGCTTGTGGGACTTACTCTTGCTTTGTCACCCGCACTTTCAATGACTAAATTTTTATCAAGAAGAATTAGCAAAGGCTATGGTCTTTAGGTCTTAATTATCTAGTCATCAGATAACAGCCCACAGCAGCTGTAAGTTAGAGCAGTTTTTGCTGATGTACTTCATGCTGAGGAGGGCAGCTGCATGGGCCGGGACCACATATGGCCCAGGAACACAGGGACACAAAGGCCATCAGCCAACGGAGCCACGGGTGAGAGTTTGGTCCTAAACACATTTCTGGCTACACAATTTAATGGAAATGGAACACAACTATTAGAGTAACATGAAGCTAGAAACTGCTACTGCATTGTTTTTTCTCCAGATAAAAAGTGCAGGTTAAAAAAAAAAAAAACCAAACTGTACTTTTTATTTAAAGAAAAAACAGTATCAAAGAAGCTAGAAACCCTTTCTATATATAAACCATCCTTTTTTTCCAATGGCAAGTCTGTAACAGCAAAACTACCCATCTGATATGGAATTAGCTGAGAACTACAAGCTGCTCCAAAATTTTCCTATGCTCCTGAATAAACTCCAGAGTTTTTTTCCAGTAAAGCAGCTGGAGCTCCTAAAATATTTTGCACTCTTGCGGTTAGGAAAATACATTTAGTAAGTGAAATCTCTCATTCATATGTTTAAAGAAAACAGTCAGAATGTGTTACATTATTCTGTACTGAAGTGTCACTACAGACCAAGATGATGTGAAGTTTAAACTGATTGTTCTTTACAGTGTATGATTATCTTGCATACATATAGCTTGCTGAGGAATGTTTCTATTATTTGAATCATAAAAGTGCTTAAAATTAATAAGCACACTACAGTTATTTTACAGCTTTGAACCAGAGTGAAGGGTAATGGAATACATAATCTACAGGCACAAACAGTACTGTGGAAAACGGAAGAACTATGTGATGAGTCGTAGTATTCCAACCACCAGAAGAAATTAAAAAGAGAAGTAGGTATTAACAAGGTAAAAGCAAAGGAAGGGCAAAATGAAAGAATTCAAAGAACAAAGTCAAGGAAAAAATAATAACAATAAATAACAGCAAAATGATACAAAACAACAAAAGAAAAATTCAGCAGTAGCAGAAAATATGACCCAACCTACCAAATCACAACTAATATAATGCATCACTTTCATCAAAATGTTATATTGTACATAATTCAGTCATATGTAAGCATAAGCCTTAGTCATCACATCTTTGGCTCCTAGACCATTTATTTAAGTGAGAAGATAATTTGATGACTTACCTGCTTGCTGCATGCATATAATATATGTGGTAAACAAGCAGAGGCAGTGACGCAGCTTCCATTTCCAGTGATAGCACCACATTTCACTTACATGAGACATCCTGTGGAAAAAAAGTAAGCAAGAATTCAGGGAGCTTTACAAGAAGGCAAGAAAAAGAGAAAATACTGTTAGTCAAACTAGTAGCTAGCAGTAAGCGAGCAAGTAGCACTTGAAAATTATGGATGGTCCTAGTGTTGCTTAAACAGAAACAGAAGTCTCTATGCTTGCTAAAGAGAGTCAGAAATCATGTTGTCTGGTTCTCAGCAGACAACAAAGTGGAAGACTGGTGAGTGCTGGGCTTCTAAGACAGGTGTAGTTGGTGTTTCTGCAAATGAAACAAGCAGTCCATATGGGGACAGTCTGAAAGAGTTAAGGTGTAGGGTTTTTTTTGGAGATTGCAAAGTTTTTCTTTATTTATTTACATATACAAATACATTTATGCTGTTTAAATATATAATAAATACAAATTTGTTACTAACTATATAAAGATGGCAGATGAGAATTTGCCTCTGCCCTTAACCAGCCTTTTCACATTTTTGAGTGCTAGTATTTTGATAGCTACAATTTCTGCTGACAATTGCCATAAAAATCCTGAAACTTTCCTTGCCAAAATCTAGGGGCTCATCTGTGCTGCCAGTGAAGTCAGGGACATGTTTATTATTTAATACGACAAATGCAATTATATAAAAATCTGTATCAGTTATAGCTTTAAGTTAAGGTTTCCTTTGCCTCGAAGTGTACAGGACATTTAATAGCTAAACCAAAATGTTTCCTCCAGAGTGGGCAGAATAGGTAGAAAGAAAGATTCTTTATAAATTTGGTCAGACTTTTAACCATGTATCCAAGATGAATGGTGCTCCATTACATTCCTGTCTCGTTCAACAAGTTAGAAAAAAACCACAAGTAATGAAAAACAACATGTATTATTTTAACCAACTTCTTCCCCTCCTATGTGGCGATAACCGGCTTTTGTTCAGTAAGATACGATCTACTTATACTGGGAGAAAACCTCTAACAGAACCTCCAAAATATTTCACAAGTCTATTCCCAGCAACAGTATGTGAAGGAAAATGAATAGTCACGAAGAAAAACCTGTGAACACAAATGTCTTCCAGGTTAATGCATATTAAATACAGAAAAAAGAAAGGTATTTGGAATGGCCATCAGTATAATTCATCGGAATGGAAATGTGAAAGAGGTAAGTGAAAGAAAGTACAGAGCTCATACTCTGTGGCAAGAAAAATTAATTTTCTTAAACTTGTGAAAATAGTCTTCCTTCTGCTCCACAGACATTGCTGTGAACCTGCCAGTGAAACCTGGGGGCAAATGTAAAACCTTTCCAAGTATCAGCTTCTGTTTCTTCCCAAAGTGGAGTTCTGTAACGTAGACAAGCCAAACTTAATGCAGCAAGATAAACCATTGTAAAGGAACAACTAATGTTTCAGTTTTAAAAGTAGTAGTTCATCAGACCACTTCTGTGGGCTAGATGCCAACGGGCCCAGGTAAATGGCACTTCAACAGCCTGATGCAATCAGTCAGGTTTCCCTTCAGTGCAGTGTTACATAGCACAAGTATCTGATTACAAAAGAAGTCCAGTTCTTTATGGCTAGTTGTATCAAATTAGGAATTTGAAGCCGATTTATTTTTCTGAGATATTGTAAAGTCAAACTTAACAAGTGTTGAAGACAAGCACAGAAAACACTGGGCTCTGAAATACAAGAATCTCTTTGATGAAGCCAGACACACAAAATAACCAGATTATCAAACAATAGAACTATTGTCCTTCAACTTAATGACCCAAAAATCCCTATTAAAACCTCAGACAGCAGAATGCTGAAGTTTGGGAACAATTACTGTTCAATGTATGTAATTCATAAATCCACAATACCCTTAATACTAATTTTGAAAATTGACTTTGAACAGAAGTCCTTTTAAGGCACGAAAAGAGTTATATGCACCTGCAAACACATGCAGCTTACTCCCAGAGCGGTGAATGGAAACGTTGAGCAGAACGGCATGACATACCGGAGATACAGAAGAATATTGCTGTTTCTACAGAAGAAAGAGTTTGCAGCTACTGATGAGATACACGACGGTCCGCCGCATAATCTACCAACGCAAACCTGTAGAAGCGGTTGCATTACTGGTTTTTGTTTGTTTGTTTTGAGCAAGCACAGTTAAAGTTGTCAGACTAGGAAACAGTCACAAACAATTATTTATCAATTCAGAAGAAATCTGTGCTGGTTTTCATCATATTGATACGTTTTGTGTGTGCTACAGTAATCGTCACTGCTGATGTCCCTGTGAACTCAGATGAATAGCGGGTGAATCCAACACACAACTTTTGAGATACTCAAGGTAAAATAATACGACAAGTTTCTGCTGCCTAGGTCTGGAGTGACCCTACCCAGTCACATTGCCTCCTGTGTCTTTCTTAAAGGATGTGAGATTCTGCATGAGTCTGAGAGCACTATTTAATTTGGCCAGTTTTTGTTTGTTAACGTTTACTTGCATTGTGGTAATGCTTACAAGACAGTACTCCACGGTGCCAGTTTACAGCATCTTTCTTCATCCTCACTTGTAAAAAGCACAAGTCAAGAAAGATTTCAAGAACACAGATAATCAACAACAGAGCAGTGCATAAGTAAGTGCAAACAACAAGACAGAACAGAGTAGCTATAAAGATTTTTCCCCAGACAAAAAGGCTACATAATTACACAATTGCTATAAAAAAATGTACAATTCTCCACCAAAATAAACAAATACATAAAAAATAACAAACTTGTCTCCTCCACTTACATTCTCTACTGCTGAAGGACAAAACAATTTTCTTTACATCACACCATCTCAGTTGACAAGAAAGAAGGGTTTATCAAACTCAACCACAGAAGAAGCAGGCTACCAAAACACACCACTAATGCAGGCACCATGAGTGAGATCGATTTCTTTTGGAGAGGACTTTTGAAGATCTGTGTTACAAAGCACAACCTCTAGCTGAGTGCTATAAATGAGTGAGGAAATCAGTTATTTACATGTTCTTGAGATCTTGCATAGACAAAAAGCCAGAACTCAGTAACCTGCCTGCTCACAGCCTTACACTATGATGTGTTTAACACCCCTGTTCTCACAAGAAACTGTCAGGGATGGCAGTCAGCTAACATACTGCCAACAAAAAGCCTTATTCCGTAACAAAATCCATCCCCAATATTTTTATAACGCGACATCCCAACTGGCAGGCAATTATGAAAAGAAGCCGGAGCAACTGGTAAATACTTCTCAGACATTAAGAAAAAAAAAACAACAAAAACTTACTTGCAGATATTATTCACCTGTTAATATTTACTATGTTTATATTTATTTTAAGGTTCATTTTCTTGAATATTAGTGTTAATTAACATCTAGAACTGAACCCAAACAGCATATGAATAATTCAGCAGAAAAATTAGCAAACAGTTGTGGGTTAGTTTATAGCTTATCAAGGGACGATGCGATCCCCTGCTACAACAGCACTGACTTGATGGCCCAAGAGACCCCTTTGGACTTGTGTTGCTATTCTAAATAGTATTAAAAGGATGTGTTCTGTCATTTAATATTCATCAATAGCACAGAGAACGGGTATCAACACAACAATGTACTAAAGCAAACCAGGAGTTTCAGTAAGCAAAGTAGTCCAGAACAAAGGCCTCAGAACACGTACAGATTATTTCAGTCTTTAACCCTGGATATATTAAAATTGCTGAACACTGTTCATAGTGGGTTTTCGTCTCCATTTTATTTCAGTCTAAATGAAAAAGCTCTGTTCTGTCACCAGCTGGTAACACGCTAGCAGCTCTGAACAAATCATTGTAGATTGTTAAACACAGAACCCAAACAACATTTTACCCAGTATCTGCGGGGAGTATTAGGACACTTATGACAGAAGTACATCCATCACAGTTGGATATAGTCTCACAACAGCAACTCCTCTTAACTTTCTTTTTTTTAAGAAAAAAGGTAGAAAAAATAGAAAGTGGCCCTCTGAAGTCTAATAGAAGAACTACTAATTTTTCTACGGAGTTGCATTATCCCCTTGTAGACACTGTGTGACATGACCAGCAATGCACTCTAGCTACCAATTCAACACAGTCCAGCTACTTTCATTTCCTATAACATAGGGAGACAATGAGCTTATTCACAATTCATTCCAGAAGAGGAAAATAGACATGTAATTTATCTAAACCATAAATGGATGGTAACTTGACATAGTTCAAGATGAAATCAGTGGGAGTCTTGCTACATCTAACTACTAAACTTTTTGCTCTACAGGCCAGCAGCCAGCTAACACAACATCATCACCTTTTAGGGAGTATACAGCTCTGCAAGAAAACACAGACAATGTGAACAATCCTGGAGGGTTTCATTTGTATACTCTATGGTCTTAAAACATGCAACACATATTTGAATATACCATCTTCCTTGTTCAAAGCTTCGGCAAAGTTCCCTGGAGTAGGATGTGAATTCTGCCCCAGGCAGACCAACACGACTTTCATTGGTCTTTGACATGTCTAAAGCTATTAAGGAAAAATGTTGCTGACACTTTAAAATTAAAAGAAAGATAACATCAATTTCACAATTTTTTTCTCATATAGGTTGTAAACAACAAGATTTTAAGCTTAATCCTTCTTAAGTGGAACTACAAGTTCACAACTCACAGTTCAGCTCCCTCAGGATAACAGAAGAGTCGATTCTAACTTTGAAACGCTTGCTTTAAACTGTAGTACGCGACAGATTAATTACACAAAGCCACTGAAAACTTTCATTTTGTTAAGCATTACTTCTTCCTACTCATTCTTACAGTCAACCTTGCAAACATCCTCACACTCATCGAAAGAGATGAGAAAAATAAGACACTGCCTTTTAATTTAAAGAGTGCCAGCGGTATCGGACCGATCTCGGTCCCTCGGCTTTCCCTTCAAAGCGAACCTTTCCCAGTCACAGGCAACTAACCTGATGACTGTTGGCAGCTCTGCAACACCGGGGCTCGACGAACTCCTCCTCGTCTGTCTCTGCCCTCACCTCACC